ACATTGCACCATTCCAACATTCCCTCAGGTCCACACTCTCGTCCGTATCCACTCTCTTTGACACCTCCAAATGGAAGATCTGGACTCGATCTTACAATTCCATTCACAAATGCTAGGCCACATTCTAATTTTTCAGCATATTTCATTCCCTTCTTCCAATCCCTCGAGTACACACTTCCACCAAGTCCATAAATGCTATCGTTTGCCAAACTCACGGCATGATCTGCATTCTCGGCAGCAATGACTACAAAAACTGGGCCAAAAGTTCATTTTGGAAAGCAAAATTGTCTGGTGTGACACCACTCAACACAGTTGGTGCGTAGAACCATCCTTCCTTGTCCTTCAATTTGAATCCTCCAGTCAACACTTTAGCTCCTTGTTGTTTGCAGAGTTGAACTTGTTCATCCAACTTGTCTCTAAGATCCTTTCTTGCCATTGGTCCGACTTCAACACCGTTCTCAAGAGGATTTCCCACAACAAGTTTGTTCACTCTCTCGACAAGCATCTTTTCGAATTGGGGCAAAACATCCTTCTCAACAATAAATCTTTTAGCAGCAATACATGTTTGTCCACAATTGTTAATTCTTGATGTGACAGCATTTTTGACAGCAAGTTCCAAATCGGCATCTTTGAGAACAATAAAAGCATCAGCACCACCCAATTCCAAAACATGTTTTTTAAGGTTTGCTGCTGCTTGTGTGGCAATAATTTTACCCACTTGTGTGCTTCCAGTGAAAGCAACTCCACGGACTTTTGGATGAGCAATCGCAGTACTCACTTGTTCATTCTCAAGAAAAACATTTTGATAGATTTTTCTCAATTCTTTTGGTGCATTACTGTTGTGAGTGAGTGGAATAAAAGGACAATGATAGTCATCATAATTATCACAGTTAATGTGACATGGTGATGCAGAAGTAAGAATTCATCAATTCAATTATTTGAAAGATATATCAATTAGTTATGGAAAAACTTTTCGATTCATACGTACCCCTTATCAAGAGCTTCTGCGAAAAGATGATTAATAGATTCTGCACATTGAGGAACTTGATGATTGTGACGAATTAGAACGGTATTACCAGCAAGCATTGCAGGAATGCAAAATCGAATCACTTGCCAATATGGGAAATTACTAATTGTGTTTGTGAACCGAACAATGTTTTGGTCGTCAAATTAAAGGTGGATCATATCATAAAAAAGGAAAATTCCAAAATATTTCACCAGATAAATTTGTTCATCATCATAAAATGGTTGCAAAAAAATTTCAACCAATTCATCAGTCAGTCAATGAATAAATAATAACAACAATAATAATCATAGAAAATAAGAAGTCGAACGTTTCACACACGGACACTTACAATGGTGCACATTGCAAAATTGGTCCCAATGGTTGATAAACCACCTTGCTGATGTGCTTTTCATTCTCTGTAACAATTCTATCACGCATAATACTTTCGGCATTCTTTGCATAATATCGAATGAGCAGCGCACACTTCTCGGCCTCAGCAATTCCTTGTGCGAGTGGTTTACCCATATCCAAAGCCATCAATTTTGCCAATTCATTCTTTTTAGAATCAAAAAGTTCAGCGAGAGGATTCATGACGGATTCGCAACGCCATCTGATGAGGTCTGAGAGTTCCTTTGGATTGACTAGGAGATCAAGTATTGCGGAATTATTATTATCATAAATGGATGATGAAAATATTTGCGATGATTGATTCCAAATGAAGATGTTCCGAATTCATTTCCGTCATGATACACATATAATAATAATTACCTACCACCATACAATTGTGGGTTCCAAGCCTCAAATGATTTCCAACTTGCTTGAATCGTCTCTTCCAATTGTTCATTACTCAAACTTGTAAACTTCTTCTCGGATTCCTTTCCGGTTGTTGGATTGATTGAAACGTAATGATTTCTAACAACAAACGAAGATGATGATGGAATCGTCAAACTTGATGTTGGTGGACTCTTCTTCAACACTTGACGAACGGATTTTGTGGATGCGGATTTGAACATTTTTTCAAATTTTTTTTCAAATTTTGTTTTTCAAACATTGAAGAGTGCGTTGACAGGTTGTTTTAATTTCATGTTGATAGATTTAGATCGAAACATCAACAATTGATAACAGATGAAAGGATCGATCATACATCTTTTCCATTCTTCAATGTCCAAAAGAGTGCGAATCAACTTGATTTAATAGTTATCAATGTAGCGATCTCTTGCATCAGCTCTTGCCAACCATCCCTTCAAGAATACTGTTTGTGAGGTAAGGTGATTCGAATTCACACATTTCACACAATTACGAGATGGATTTTGAATTTCATGATTCAATTTTCACATGTTCACAAATTTTCACACATTTCACAATTCAACCATCATCCACAATAGAATGATCAAATGTCACAATTCCCACTCGCATTCACTTACCTCTATTCTTACAAGTTGGACATCCCCATCTCTTATAATCAGCCCTATGTTTCTCATTCAAAGCACGAGCAAATTGTTTAGCATTTTGTCCATGATATCCACCCAATTCATTAATATATTGCTTTGATCTTCCAGTTCCAGAATTCACTGCAATATCTGCGCACACGTAAAAAGCAGGCATTGGTAATTGATTGCAACCTCCTGGTCCAAAATAGTTTTGAGTATACAATTGAGCTGCACATTGCTTGTACACGACTTGATTCCTATCATAGGCATATTTACAGAAATCAGCAGGATGACCCTTAAATCCACCCAACAATGGAGCAAAAATTCCATTTCGATTATTCCAACATTCAGCAGGTATGACTCCCATACAGGTGTATCCAATTTTACCTTGGAATGAATTTCCAGAATCAAAGGCCCAGTTTTGACATTTACCTTCGGATCCAAAGATTTGAGCCAATGCTTCCTCTGCCTTCTTGGTATTATCCATGTTAGAATTTGTTGATGAAGGAGGTTTTGTTGGTTGTGAATTGGCACATGACATTTTCAAAAATTTGGCAGAAACCCATTGTCCACTACCAACACGAGCCCATTTGGATCCATCGGCAGCGTTGGCCACTTGATAGACAGTGACCTGAGTTTCAGGACCCAAAGTTTTCACAATAGAGGCACTTGGTGATGGTGAAGAACGAACGTTGAGAGCTCCTTGGACATTGGTACATCTTGTTTCAGGCCACATGGCATCTGACAAGGGTTCAATGTTTGATGATTCTTCTACTGAATTTTCGAAAAAGGAGTTTTCTTCAGAGTTTTCCATTTCATCTTCATTCATGTTTAACAAGGAATCTGACAACTCATCAAAGACATCGAATGATTTGGTAGGTTGTTGTTGAGTTCGTTGAGATCCATATTCGGAAGCGCTGGAACGACGATCTTGAATGAGTTGACGAAGTTCAGCGACGGTTAGAGCGTGAGTGGTGGTGAAGAGAGCGAGGAGAAGAGCAGAGAACAGAAGGATGATGATGGTGTTGGGCTTCATCCTCGTTGATGGTGATCGCGTTTTTTTTTGATGAAGTTGGTTAAAATATTTGATTATCGTAATTGAACTTTGACAGGTGAGAAATAAGGCTGATTTTAATCAATGAATTCATACACTTGAACCATTGTAATGACTCATTCACTGAGTTGAAAGAAGGTCAACAAAAGCCAAACAATCACCGTCGCATGTTCAGGATCAATATTTCGTCTGAATATTCACAGTGAAATTTTATTCAATGATTTCCTTTATTGGTTTGTTCAAACAAGAA